TACCTCATTACTACATAATAGTACAGTGTTATATTTAAGGGAAGTGTGGAAGTGCAAAAAAGTAAATATATTTATTTTTGGATATAATTTGTTAGAATATAACATTCAGGGAACATTTAGATATAAATTCTTTATATGGGATTATTTTTGAAATGCAGATTCTTTATTCCTTTCTTCTCCTTTTTATATAAACTTTTTATTCCTTTGGGTTTGATGAAAATGGACTTACTGTGCAGACACACTAACCGGGACTACTTGAATAAAACTGACCAATCAGCTAACAGTAATTTAGACAGAGATTTAACCGATAACAGTGTTAGCCAATCAGATTATCACATTCTCACGCTCTCATTATATCAATGTGCTATCTGATTGGCTGGTTAAAAATATTAAAATAAATGTCACAATATGATTGGCTAATGAGACTACAGTAGTTTACCAAAGTAGTCCTGGTTGGAGTATCGGCACAGTAAGACTCAAGGGTATGCTCAGTTTTATGAACTAACCAGAAAAAGTTTCCTAAATAATGCAGTTTGTTAAGTTTTAAAACTATGATCAGTTTTTTTAGATAACAAAATTGATGATGCATGTTGGTCTTTTTACCTCTTCTACCTCTTTTTACCTCAAAAAATGAGAATAAAATTGGGAATATTGCTCTTTGCAAGGGATTGAGGGGATGAAATTTTCTTTTCAACATGGGGGAAAGCTTAGCAAACTCTCTTGAAAAACAGACTGAAAAACAAAGAAGTTTGATTCAAAAACTAATTGAAAACCTGTGTAGCAAAAATGGCAAATGGCATCCCCTAAACAACCCTTCGAAGGGGAGTTAGACTTAAGAAGTTATGTAAAAAATACAAATTTATTGTACTCAATTTAGGCAGAGCTTGTAGAAACAGAGTTCTCAGTTTTATGTACAGTTTAAGTGTGCATTTAGGTTTTCAGAAATATGTCAATATTGTAAGTATTTGGGGAATTTTTCATGGACTTAAACAAGGTCTTTAGACAAACCTTAAACCTTAACTGAGGGAGGTCTGTACTGTAATATATAGACTGCAAAATGAATGCATGAGATGAACTTCATAGAGTAATAAAGATATTAAAAGATGACAAGTCTAAAAACAGGGTTTTTTCTTTTAGAAATAATTTTTACACTGGACTTTTAAGTAGCAATTTATGTCTTTCATTTAAAGACTAATATGGGACATAATTGGTTGACTTTGAAGTCTGTGGAATTTCATAACAAAGCATGGTGTTGTACAAGTTGTAGATTCTTTCATGATCGTTTGATGGGTGTTTGGTCCGTAATTAACATGCTTGAGAACCTGTCAATATGCATGTTATTGCCTGCATGGACCAAGCAATGACTTTCCACCCTGTCATTGTCATGTCTGTAGTGGATGGTCCTTTGTCTCTCATGATTGTTTGATGGGTGTTTGATCGTGGTTCCCTCATGTTTGAGAACCTGTCAATATGCATGTTATTGCCTGCTAGGAACGAGCAATGACTTTCCACCCTGCCATGGTCATGTCTGTAGTGGATGGTCCTTCGTCTCATGATCGTTTGATGGGTGTTTGATCGTTATTAACATGCATGAGAACCTGTCAATATGCATGTTATTGCCTGCTAGGAACGAGCAGTGACCTTGAACATGGTAATGCCTGGAATAGATGGTTCCTTTGTCTTACGATTTTTTCCTGTCAACAGTAGTACAGGTAGTCACCATACGAACAAACCATGAAAATATATTATTTGTCACATAATTATCGCACCAGTCTGAATCCTTGGATGGCATTTTACTTACAAAGGACCATATTCCTCCACATATCCTGAAGRACTGGGAAAGAAAGGGAGAAAAATGAAAAGACTGAACTAGCATCACAGCAAATTCACTCCATCTTAATTTCTTGTGCACAGCTTACAGTAACGCGCGAAACCGCACAACTTGCTGTAAGGTATAAAGTATTTTTTCATGACATTCCATAGGCCAGTGCCCGACTTAGTGTTTCCCGACAAAGYCACAAAAAGACTTTGATTATTGACATCCATCAAAAYCTACTTTGTCACGAGGACAAACCTACGCGGGCAATTTTCCAACGCCTAAATACGAGACCATTATATTATAGTTCAAAGTCTCGAAATTAGCGCATTWTTGCACTAAATGTGGCCGCCACACYTWTAGAGGGCTTAGCAAAGGGTTTGRACACTTTTGWCACGYGCAAACAAGAAAACACACACAGGGCGTCAATAACTTACCTATCAAACGAGTGCCCTTCATTCCTAACCATCGGTATACTACTATTGGTTGCATGCTGTTAAAAAACATAGATGGAAGTATGATTAGTAGAACCAAGGTATTCTTTCGGTACATCTGACGTTATGGCCGCCATGTTGGACGACTKMAATATTTGCTCAACCAAAATGGCGGCACGTCTGTYGTCAWTGCCATAGGAAGGGCYGGCCAGGACTAAGRACAAAGATTTACCTGATTGTCTGTTGTGTAGTTATTATAGGAGAGCGACGCATCGGAATAATCATGGCCTAAAACAATAAAAGATAAAACACCYTTAGATGTACATCTGCWTTTTGAMTGACTGCAAAAAAMGGTAGGGAAAGGAAGAGCTACCCACCTCTCTGCCGGGAGACCGCTGATACTAACGACTGCATTGCTTCTCCCACCATGGCAGCAGCTAGAAATAAGTCGCTGTGGATTTCCATGGAAATATCTAACGACAGAAAGACGTTGTCAATTAGACTTACGACATCTTGAACTAACTATTTTGAAGGGTTATCTTTATTTTGGAGCAAATGGGGTTTGATGCACTTGGACTTGTCGTCAAGTCATTGGAAAAGGGAAACAGAATATCAAACAGGATTTTTCTCCACTCTTCATCAATGGGAGTGAAAATTAGGTCATTAGGAATGGAAAATAGAATCAATGACAAAATGGGATTTCTCCAAGACTCGACCAATGACACCACGAAGATAGGGGACCAGTCATTATTTAAGTCGGGAGGGGGGGGGGGGTGG